CCTCGAGGCCTTGAATTGTCGGGCTGACCCTGGAGCCGGAAGTGGCTGTGGGCGAGCGACATCCTGGGCCGCAGCATTTCATAGGAAGATGACCCGTATTTTGTGTGCCTGCGGTACATCAGAGACGGCTTCAGAAACTGCGGGGTGGGGTGGGGTGGGGGTGGGGAATGGACTGGAAAGAGCTCAGATATTTCTCACACGCTTTCGAAGTGCCTGAGTCGGCGATGCTTTCGAAACACGACCTCGCTCTTTCTTTGCACAGGGATTCCCCAACACTTCGTGTGGGGAAAGCTCTGTGGCTCAGAATGTTTGGAAGTCACTAGACTTGAGCCCAGGCTTCTGCCGCTTACTAACTATGTGCCCCTCTAAGCTGTGGTTTTCTCATCTGTAAAATGGGCGTGCTCTCCACGGCAGGCTGTATTTGAGAGTGTGGGACTCCTACGGTGCCCGGCCTCACTAGGTGCCCAGCCAACGGCAGCTGTTATCTCGCGGGTGATTAGGTATCTGTCAGGGTGATCGTTTGTGGGGGCTGGTGTGCTGCTGGGGGTCTGGATTCAATGCCACCAGAACTTCAAACACCAGCAGGGTCTCCCAAGGCGGACACGTTTCAGTGGGGATTCCAGACTCTCAGACGGACGAGGAAGAAGGGCTCCAGCCAAAGAGACCCCTGTAGATCATCACATCAGGTTCATGCGGGTCTAAGTCAGTCTCGCTGCCACGGAGTCTCACTGCGGCCCTACAGGACAGGGTAGACCTGCCCCTGTGGGTTTCTGAACTGTCACTCTTCACAGGAGTAGAAAGCTCCGTCTCTCTCCCGAGAAGCAGCTGATGGTCTCAGCTTTCGGTGAGCAATCCAGTCGGTAACTAAGGACACCATCGGGGCTACACTGTAGTCTGGAAAGCTGAGCCCGCAGCAGTGGACTCTGACCGTACCAACGGTCATGAAGCATGCACGGGACCAGGCAGGGTGTCATGCCCTTGTGCACAGGGTGGCCATGGGTCAGAGCGGAGTCGGGGGCAGCTGACGGGACAAAACAGCATGGTGTCTCGCATGGCTGCTCATGTTGGGGTTCAAGCCGCCCCATTCCACGCCTGCTGGTGCAGAATTCCCAGGAGTCCCGGTGGCGCCGTGGGCTACTTGTTGGGTTGCTAATTACAAAGCCAGCGGTTCGAAACCACTGGCCGCTCCTGGGACCAAGAAGGAGTTTCTCCCCGTACAGTTGCACAGTCTCGGAAACCTGCTGGGGCAGGTCCACGCTGCTGTAGGGGCCGCTTCCGTCGGACTCGGCTTGTTGGCAGCGAGCCCTAGTGCACTTTGGGGACGCTCCCTTTCTATGCGACAGTTATATTTGTGTATTTACTTCTGTGGTGAATACAGCATATGTGCATTCTGGTGCTATATTTTCTATCATTTTGGGATGTTTTCTGCACACTGCGGAGGCAGAGCAGTCTCTCTGGGATGCTAGCATTTGAGGGGCCTTCTGAAAGTTCGTGGGAAAATTCCATGATCTTTGAATTCAAACTGTCCACACACCTTTTGAAGCCCCCTGGTAGGGATCGGACTGAATTCACATTGCTTCCTCTCTCGGCCAGGGCTTGTGGCTCCTGTAGTTTAGATGTGTTTCCATGGGAGCCAGCGCATGGGGCAGCCAATGGGAGTGGTTTTTATGTCCCCCCGCCCCCCCCCAGGGCTGCTGTATCTTATGTACAGACTCTTTGTGGGCGGATTGCAGAAATCCCGGCTTTTGGAAATGCTTTTGAACCCCCTGGGAAAGTGAACGGGCGGG